GGGGAGGGACAGAGGGTCCAGGCCCGGTGTGCAGAGCCCCGGGTGGCTCTGGGTGAGGCCGGGGAGGGACAGAGCTGGGACACTGCAAAGGAGCAGTGGAAGTCCCCACCGGAGGGGCTGGCAGAGGGTTGTGCTGTGCCCCTGCTGCTCTGCTCCTGGCTCCAGGCACAGCAGAGGGGCCAGCAGGGAACCCTGGAGCCCAGGAAGTTCAGTCTGAAGGTGAAAGGTGTGCAGAGCCCCGGGTGGCTCTGGGTGAGGCCGGGGAGGGACAGAGCTGGGACACTGCAAAGGAGCAGTGGAAGTCCCCACCGGAGGGGCTGGCAGAGGGTTGTGCTGTGCCCCTGCTGCTCTGCTCCTGGCTCCAGGCACAGCAGAGGGGCCAGCAGGGAACCCTGGAGCCCAGGAAGTTCAGTCTGAAGGTGAAAAACTGATTTTCTTTTGGGATGGCAGAGCCCTGGGATGGGCTGCCCAGGGAGGCTGTGGAGTCTCCTTCTCCAGAGATGTTCACAACCCCTCTGAATGTGATCCTGTGCCACCTGCTCAGGTGAACCTGCTTGAACAGGGAGGCTGGACTAGATGATCTCCAGAGGTCCCTTCCAACCCCCCAGTCTGTGTTTCTGTGAGCTCAGGGGGGCTCTGCAGAGGAGCTGAGGCCAAGTGCCAGGCCACCAGCAGGCCAGGCTGGTTCCCAAGTGCTGCCACAGATCTGCACTAAACAAGTTAGATTCATCATGATGCCCTTCCCACCTGTTCATCCTTCCACCAGCAACAAAACTGAGAAGCACAGGGACATGAAACCAATTCTAAAGGCACTGCAGCCAAGATGGAGCTGGAGGACAAATGCAGTCTGGCATTAGCAGTGTTATGCAGAGCTCTGCTTTGGGCTGGCAGGAATGTTCCATGCAAGTCTGCTTGCTTTTGTGTTGTTTGGTTTTTAAGAACACTTAGCTGCAGTAAAAAGCTGCTTGCATGGTCAGAATGAAGAATGGAAGGCAGAAATGGGTAAGGGGCCTGTCCAGGTGAAGCTGAAATGAAGTTGAGTTGCTGAGTGTCAGTGTGAACTTAGAAATGAAGCTGAAGGGGCAGGGGTTGCAGACAAGCAGGTATAAAATGTCTGGTTGATCTGAACTTTTATTAGTTTATTAGAATATTTTATTATTTTATTATCAACTTTTATTGATCCTGTGATCAGGTTTTGCAGCAGCTTGTCAGGCAGGCTAGCAGGGTGTAAAATAGATGTTCTAAAGCTTGTCTCTCAGGTTTCTGAAGTACCTTGCATCTTACTAGCTGTAGTAACGTGGAGTGACAGTAGAGGGGACACAAGCTCACTCCTGTTCTTGTTTGAGAGTATGGGTTTCAGGTTGAGGAAAGTGAGCCTGGGCAGAGTTTGCTGCTGTGTGTTACATCCCTTCCTACTTGGATTCCTTTTTTTCAACAAGGGAAACACTCGTGCTCCCTGAGAAGGGACTGTGGATGTTTCTTGCACAGGTGTAAGTCACAGCATGTCAGGGGTTGGAAGGGACCTCTGAAGATCATGGAGTCCAACCCCCCTGCCAGAGCAGGACCAAAACTAGGGCAGATCACTCAGAAAGACACCCAGACATGTCTGGAAAGTCTCCAGAGAAGGAGACTCCACCACCTCTCTGGGCAGCCTGTCCCAGGGCTCTGTCACCATCACAGTGAACAAGTTCTTCCTCATGTTGAGGTGGAACTTCCTGGGCTCCAGTTTGAATCCATTGCCCCTCGTCCTGTCACAGGGCACAAGTGACAAGAGCTTGTCCCTGCCTTCTTGATGCCTCATGTATTGATAGACATGCATTAGATCCCCCCTCAGTCTTCTCTCCAGACTGAGCAGCCCCAGGTCTCTCAGCCTCTCCTCTTCAGGCAGGTCTTCCAGTCCCTTCATCATCCCTGTAGCCTCCCTTAGACTCTCTCCAGTAGCTCCCTGTCCCTCTTGAGCTGGGGAGCCCAGAACTGGGCACACTACTCCAAGTGAGGTCTCACCAGGGCTGAGTAGAGGAGGAGGAGAACCTCCCTGACCTGCTGGAGACGCCCCTCCTGATGCACCCCAAGACACCATCATAACCTACAGAAACATATTTCCCCCGCACTTCCTAGCAGCTGCTGGCTGATGTCCCAGTCCCTCTGGCTCCCAGGGAGCTCTCAGCTGCCATGCCCTGGGGTGTGTTTTGCCCTGCAGGTGCGGGTGGAAGGCTTCAGCTACGTTGGGATGGGCAACTCCACCAACAAGAAGGACGCGCAGAGCAACGCGGCCCGGGACTTCATCAACTACTTGGTGCGGGTGAACGAGATGAAGAGAGAGGAAGTTCCTGCCTTTGGGGTGAGTTGCTCTCCCTCCTTCCCAAAGGCTGATCTGTAGTGGCAGTGCTGTGGGGCTGGCTGCATTTCATCTCTGGAGTGACCTCAGCCTGGCACCCCTGGTGCAGGGAAGGCTGAAAAGGCAGGACTTCTGCTTGTAGGGCTGGGAAGGTGGAATGTTGACAGGAAATGGTGTCAGCTGGTCTGGTAACACAGCTCTGTGTTGGTCTGCCTTCCTGGTGAGGCTGGAGAGGTATCCAGGGTCCCTGCAAGGTGCAGCCTGACTTGGAATGCTGAGTACTCACACACTGGGAGTTGTTTTAAATGCACGTTATGATCTATCATACTGTGTACTTAAAAAAAACAACACACCTCAAACCAGATGTAGAAAAGGTGACTTTTTTAAACCATAAATGCTTTCTGCCTTAGCTCCTCATGTGAAATATGCTCACTGGTTTCTCTGAACCACATTAAGTATGGGCAGTTACTGCCACATAAGAGCTAAGGAGAAAGGTAACTATCTTTCAGCAGTTTTAGAGAACAGTAAATCATGAAGCTACATGTTCTCCGTTGGAAGAGCCTTTTTCTAGTGCCTCATGAAGGGTGTATCTGTATAAGAGACACAGTTAGGTCAGGGGGAGAGGTGTCTCTGGCTTGGTGAACCCTGATGGTGACACAACCTGTGTTGTTTCTGAGGCACCAGATAGTTCTGTGGCAGCTCAGTGTGTCACTGGGCTAGATCCTGCAAAGGCACAGCATGTTCTCTATCTTGAACAAAGCAGAGAGGTGTGATCAGTGAGGCAATGTACACACCTCAACATGGGAGGAATTGATACTGTAATGGTTCACCATAATGTTTTCAATTCCTAAGGGTACTAATGCTTTCTTACATCATTTTTTGGTGTGTTTATTATAAAGTATATTTGAGTTCCTGTGGGTATATGGTAGGGACTGGTGTCTGGTATTTTATCCTGGGTGCTGAAAAAGTTGATTCTTTAATTGCTGAAGTTCAGGAAGTGGGGGCTTGTGTTGGCTGGAAATCTCATTGTAGAACACCCATAAAAAGCCAAGCATTCAGCAGCTGTATTGCTTTCAGGTCTTTAAAGGGTGATATTATTGAGAGTTACTACTGGGGATAACTACTGCACATTGAGCAGTCCTTAAACTGCCTGAACAATTGTCTGGCTAAATGGTACAAAAACTTACCCTGCATGAATGTGCTGTTATTGCCCTTCATTCTCTCTCTCTCAGCCTGCAACATGTGATACCCCTGATGGACATGAAGCAGCCAAAGGTATTCCTGCTTCCAGCTCTAGTTTGGGTGGACCTCTTCCTCCACACTTGCTTATAGAGGCTGAAATAGGTAAGACTGAAAGCTGTCATTTACATATATGCAGATGTAATAGATGCATATAGATTTGGGTGGGGTTCTTCTCCCAGATGGCATCATTCTGCAGGTGGGTACTTAGAAGTCAGTATTGTTTTGAGGCAGAGGTGTGAATGACTGCATGAGACCTGAGGGACTGCTCATGTCCTGTTGGGATGGCCAGGCAGTTCTTCTCCACTGCTCAGGGTGTATTTTGGGAGAGCTGTTTTAGATTTGGTTTTCTCCCCTGGTAGGCAATGGCCCAGGCCCAGCTCCTGGAAACTGTGGTGATCGTGAAGCTCAGTGGGACCGGGGTGCAAATCTGAAAGATTACTATGCAAAGAGAGAGGAGCAAGAAGGGCAGACAGTAAGTCCTTCTCTCTAATTCTTCCTTTACTTTTGCTCTTAAATAGGTTCCTTTGCAGTTGTTCATAGCATTTATGACCAAGCTTGCAGTTTTCATTTGCAGTTTTGCTGTTAGTTTTAACTGAAGCTGCAGATTTACCTGCTGACAGGTCACTTGCTTAAGCTAAAACCAAAACAAATCACTCTGGATACTGTCAATATCCAGCTGTTTGTATAGACAGTTAGTTGTGAAAAGAAGGAAATACTGGGGATCTTTTAGCATTTTCTGCAATGGATTAATCATTTTATAGTATGTGGGCAAGTTATTTTTAAGACTTGTGAAAATATATATAAAACTGAAACCTATTAGAAACCAGTAAATGACACTTTTTTTTCCCCCCAATATTAGACCTCTGGGTCAGAAGTGGACTTAAATTCTGATCTTCATGGGAGCTGGACCTTGGAAAATGCCAAGGCACGTCTGAACCAGTTTTTCCAAAAGGAGAAGATTCAGGAAGAATATAAATACACTGAAATGGGGCCTGATCACAACAGGTTTGGTAGCTTAATCACCTTCTGCCTTGGAAGGATTAGGAATATTTTCAGTGCCAGTGGCTGACTGCAGGTTGTTGCAATGCTCCAGAGTGGAATTTGAGCAAGCAGTGTTCTGTACCAGGGCCAACAACATCCCTACATCTTGAAAATGGGGGGGGGTGATGAGCCTGACTGATGTTTTTGAGGTGTCAGTTTGAGTGGAAGGAGTGCTCAGTTCTTTGCAGTGATTGTATCACTGTCGTTGCCTTTGTGCATCTTAAGTGTGCTTGAATTTGCTTATATAGAAGTGTACTTCAAGGATCTGTAGTTTCATTTTTATGAAAATTAACTTCTTTTGGCAGCAGAATCTTCTACTGAAAAAAAATTAGTTTGGCAGAATCTTCCTGAAGAAATTTTGAGGGTCTTAACTTTCAGTTGAAACCAGCTGGGTATTACTCTTTTTTGACTTTCTGCCCATTCCATCAGAAAATGTACATGTGCTTGTCCCAAATGAAAATAACAGATTGTGCATAAAGAATTGGTGTTTTTAAATTATTTTTTACCTCTATTTGGAATAGTCTTTACAAATAATCAAAAATTCAGAACATTGCATTGTTTCTTGTGAGACACCATCATGTTTTGTGGTGAGAAGCAATGGCATGTGGCTGTTGTTGGGTCTTGGTTTTTTTTCTCAGTATATAAATTGGTTTTCTCTGAGAGTTACTTTTTTTTTAGAGAGACCAGTGAATTTTCTGACTAGTCTTCTCTGAGAGTCTCAGTTGCAGAAGTTCTGGTGTTCTCCTGTTGTGAAGTCTTACAAGCATTTAGAACATGTCAGATACGTGTATTGGTGTCAGAAAGTTCTAAATTCTCATTTAAAACCCATCTTCAAGTCACTTCATCTCCATTGATGTTTTCAAGCAATGGCATTTCTTTCCCTTCAATGAGCAACATAAAAAAATTAGCTTATGCAGTACTAGGAATTTTAAGATATGCATAGTGCAGATGCAGTTCTTGAGCACTTCTTTTATTCTGAGCCTTGCAGATTATTTGTGCAGCTCATTTTGTTATGCCTTCTGCAGGTAAAACCACTCAACCCCCATGAATTTTAAGTGCATATGAGCTTGAGCAGAACGAGGTGGCATAGATGACAGTATGTTTCTCAGCCCACTTACTGCTGCTCTTCTGGAGAGCACTTCAGAGTTTTGTATTTCCTGCATCCAGGAAAGCTTGTATGAATTGCCCTGGATGGAATGGCAGAAGGAGGAACTAAGTATCTGCTGCAATAGAGTGGGCAGGCATGAGACAAGCTTAATGTCTTTTTTGTTGAGAGAGGGCAACATTGGATTTCATCCTTTTGGTATGTATCACAGGAAAGTAAAATTTCAGATATTTTTAAAGTTCTGAGGACAGTGATCTAGTTTGGGTTTGGTTATTTTTTTAAGAAATACCTGTTGCTTTATGTCTTAGCAGTTTGATTTTTAAAAAAAGTAATAGCATTTATAGCAGAAATGTTAGCCTTGCTCTCAAAGGGTGTTAAAGGAGAAATGTGGGGATTTTTTGTCAATTAATCACAGTCACACAGTATAAGAACTTGGTAACAGGTGGAAATTTTTTATTTGGAAACTTTGATTTAGATAGGAGGGTGTAAGTTGTAAATATAAGCACTGCTCTCCTCATACACAAAGTGTTGACCAAACCTTAAGGGATGGGATGTGGCTTTTCTCTTGGGATTGCACTGGTAGCGTGAGATGCCTTTGCCTCCTTGTGTTCCTGCTGAAGGTAGCAATGAGCAACCCCAAAGATCTGCTGAGGCTGTGCTAAACAATCACATGGGGTTCTGCTGCAAACTGATTTCTGGTGTTGCTGTTCTCCCCTTAGGTGGAGGAGAATGAGATTGAATGCTGACTATAGGCCTGGCTGAGAAACATACTGTCATCGGTGCCTTAGTTGGCTGTTGTGTCCCTGAGAGCCAGTGGCCTTCGAGCCATGAAGCCACTGTGCCTGAAGGTCAGTTCACTGGTAGTACAGGAAGGAGTTCTCACTTGAAATTAAAATCCCTCACTTAACCTTTTGTTTGTTTGTTTGTTTACAGCAAGAAATGAAGGGCACAGATGCAAGGCTCTGCCTGCAGCTGTGGAAGTACCAAGGCATAGTTTTCAAGGAGGATCTTGGGCTGTAAAGCCCAGTCATACAGCTTAAATCACATTGGCCAGTTGAAATCCTGTCTGATAAGAATGTGGTTTGCATTTGTAATCTGTGCAAATACACACTTAGGTTTGTGAGTCTTAAAAACATGGATCTTGGTTTCCATCATCCTATGTTGAAATATGTCTTCCTCATTTCTTTTAAGCCTAAATTAATATCCCAGTTAACTTAATGAATTGGTTACATGCCTACTAGGCAAACTATTGCATTTGCTGAGCAGAGTTACTTCCATATACACTACATGCTGTTCCCAGAGTACAGCAATAGGGGCTTTGGGAAAATTCAAGTATTCTGTCTCCTTCTGTGCAGATACATTGAATGGTCTCTAACATAATTACCTGGTTATTTTTGTCTGTGCTCTGAGCTGGCCAAGTGTGTGTCAAAAACCAGGGCAGCTGTATTAAGTGTTGCATCTGAGCTGCTAAACCCAGGCTACTCATGGGTTCCATGACTATAATGTGGGATACAGTTAGTTGCACAGTGGGATGCCTGTTAATGTTACATTCATGTGCTATCTGCTTTAAAATTGTTGCCTGGAACTTAGCACGGAACATATTTCCTAGTACTGTGGCTTTAAATTTCAATGCTGAACGGTGGCATTTCCAGGGCTGTTAACAGATCTACTGGTTATGTTGGCAAGTCTGTTACCTGCTAACTTGGGGTTAAAGGGACTAAAAGCATAGAATCATAGAACCATAGAATGGTTTGTTTTGGAAGGGACCTTAAAGATCATCTAGTTCCAACCCCTCTTCATGGGCAGGGACACCTCCCACTAGATCAGGTTGCTCAAGGCCCCAACCAACCTGCCCTTGAGCACTTCCACGGATGGGGCTTCAAGAACTTCCCTGGGCAACCTGTTCCAGTCTCTCACCACCCTCATAGGGAAGAATTTCCCCCTAATGTCTAATCTAAGTCTTCCCTCTTCAAGTTTTACTCTATTACCTCTTGTCCTCTTGCTATAAGCTCCTGTAAACAGTCCCTCCCTGTTTGTTTGATCACTTGCAAACAAATTTCTCTGCTTAAAGTCTTTTATTAATATATTACAAGACAAAAAAGAAAAATGCCAAGGAGTTGTGTAGTCTGCTGGCAGACTTAGACAAGGAAAATGCAGACATCAGATTCAAAATCTCGGTGTAAAAGACCAATTAAAAAAGTGTATAAAGCCAAAATAAGGGCCTTGCCTTTAGAACTGCACCCACCCAGTGTGGTGCAGTAATGTTGCACCCTAAGGATGAGTTGAGAGTCTCTGACTGAGGACACAGTGATTGATCTTTGCCTTGAAAAAGTAGGAAGAGTGGCTATTTTTGCAGTGTCAGCTATTGATAATTGTACCTTTGGGTTTGTTCTTTCTCTTACAGGAGCTTTATTGCAGAAATGAACATTTATGTGAAGCAGTTGGGCAGAAGTAAGTGCCCCTATTTAATTTTTACCTTAGCAAGAGAGAGGTGTTGGTACAGAGGAGTAAGTCATGCTCGTGGGTACAGACTTCTGTAGTTATGTGTGAAGGTTCAAGTTTGTTTCCTCATGTGAAGTCTTCTCTGGGTGCTGTGCTTGTTGCTGCTGCTCATCCATTACATGCTTCCACTGGTCTTTCTTTTTTCAGCACAAAGAAATGTTTGGGAGATGCAGTAGGTTTTCTTTATCTTGATCACTTGTTCTTCACATCTCAGAGAAATGCAGGTGTCTTGTGTTCCCAGGCCATGAACTTGCTCTCCATACCCATGTTTGTAGAGGTTCCAGTGAGATTAGTGTGGTGTTGCTGGGTGGTATAGGATAATTATACTTCCTTAGTCACTGAATGCAGAAAAAACTTGACAGGAGTTCCACAGGAAGTCAGTAAGTAACATTGCACAGCCAGTGTGAGTCAGCTGTGGAAGAAGGCTGGGTGTATTTTATGTTGGAACTCTGGATTTGTCAAGATTTGAGACTCCTTCCCTGGAACCTGGCCCTGAAACAAGTCACAGAGCCCGTTTCTGGGTAGTATCTTCTGTGGAAGCTGTTTGACTCATCAGCTGCTACAGCTCTGACCTTTGTGTGCTACAGGGATTTTCAGTCGTGAGCATGGATCAAACAAAAAGCTGGCAGCACAGGCCTGTGCCCTGTCCTTGGTCAGACAGCTCTACCATCTTGGAGTCATAGAACCTTATTCTGGACAGGCAAAGAAAAAAGGAGAATCGGTGAGTTTGGCAGAAGGGTCAGAAGTTGTTGCTTTTATTTTAATAACACACATAAAGATGAGAGAGGTAGAATTTCTGTCAGTATGAAATGGCTTACAACTTAATAATAATTTTAATTCTTTAGACCAGCAACTGTTTCTGGCCAGTGATTTGGATCAGAAGTAAAACTTTGTATGTGAATGGAGCAGTAAATTAGTTTTGCAGTGTATTAAACGAAATAAGATCTTGAACACTTTTTCTCAATATACATTTTCTAGAAGCTTGAGGAGTTATGTTGATGTTACATACAATTCTCGGCTATTTGGTTTAATTCTCTGGGCCGTTAGCTTTTTTGGTATTCAACTACAAATGTGGGAATGTCTTCCTCTGAAATTAAACTCAGGTGGTTAAAAATATTCTACAGGTTCTTGGATGAAAAGTCAGCAAAATGTTTCAAGAAAGCCAATCTGGATCTGGTGGGACTCCTTAGCCTTGTTTCACTGGGAACTGTGTGATGACTCAGTGCTCTCTGTGCTGGCCTGCAGTTCTGGCTTCCATGGTCTGACTTTTTGTGTGTATCAACATGTAGTTTTTAAATATTTAATAGGTGGAGCCCTATGAGGTGTCACTGTCTTCTGACTTAGAAAATCGGCTGCAAAACACTGTACAGGAGCTGTCTCTGGAAGTTGTGCCTGTGGTGAGTGTGTGGTTCAAACACTCCAGTATTTAACATCAGCCCTGCTGGTTTCATAATTTTATCTTTCTCTGCCCACTTTGCTTTTGGATTTGTAGCCTGAAGATCCCAGTAATCCAGTTCTGATTAGTGTTGGAAAGTTGGCCCATTTTGAACCATCGCAGAGACAAAGTCATACAGAGGTCATTCCATGGTCACCACCTCATTCCAACTGGAACCCTTGGACCAGCTGCAATATTGATGAGGGTCCTCTGGCAAATGTAAGACAGCTTAAATAATGGAGTTGTTGTTTGTTTTCCCCATGCTTCTGGAACATTTACATGTAAACAAACTTTTTTCTTCTTTCAGTATTTTTGATCTTCCTGACTTTGAGATTGGCCATTTAATTTTAACACACTGGGATGAATGAAATAGAATAGCTCCTAGGGATGCCTGATTTCAGGGGATTATGTGGGAAATCATCCTGTCCTGATACTTGGAATCATGACGTTGGTGTGACTGATTTTATACTCAAGTTATGATCTAGATAAGCAGAGAGTTTAAAAAGCCTCTGAACAATGTCTTGTCTTTGCAGCTCACTCCAGAGCAAATAAGCATGGATTTGAAAAGTGATTTCATGTACCGCTTGGAGCAGGACCCGGAATTCCAAAGGGTAAATGAGCTTCCTGTGTTGTGGTGTCCTTACCCTCATCTCTTTCTTCCCCAAAGGAAGCTGAGCAGATTTTGTGCCAAGCGTGTGAGACTGGATTTCAGTAGTAATACACACCAAGTTTTCCAAAGTGCTGGATGCTCTGGTGGGATGGATGTGGAGAAGTGTTGTGCTGTGTAAGGAAAAAATCCAAACTGTGATTTGTCCTTACACAGTTTTCCCTTTGTTTTTCTTTCCCTTCCTGTGTAGAGGAGTGAGACAAAGTATGGACGTGGAGCAGAAAAGCTTGATTTTTGGAGATTTTTCAAAACATGGTTTGTTTGTTTGTTTTCCAGATCCAAGAAGAGAGAGAGACCTTACCTGTGAAGAGTTTTGAAAATGAAATTCTGGATGCAATCCGTGACAATTCTGTGGTCGTGATTCGTGGTGCCACTGGTTGTGGCAAAACCACTCAAGTGCCACAGTACATCCTGGATGAATACATCAAAACTGACCGAGCTGCAGAGTGCAACATAGTGGTGACACAGGTGAGGAACATGGGACAGATGCAGCCACTTCAGCTTGGTGGTCAGATGCTAGAAATCACCCATTAGGGTGTGCTGAGAAGTCTGGTTGATGTTACAGCATCAGGTCTCTTTTCATTTGGTGGGTTTTTCTTTCATGTAACTACAGTTGGAATAATCTGGCTTGGACCTTGCCCAGGTGAAAACTTTTTGGCACACTGGGGGGAAGTGAGTTGTCAAATGGCAGCTGGTAGTACCCACATCTCCTTATATCCATCCTTTGTAATTTTATGTGCAGAATTGGCTATTTCAGGAGGAAAAAAGCCTGCTATTGTAGGTAGTACTATTTAATGGGTACTCTGTAAAGAAATCATAGGGCCGGACACTTAGAGCTTTTATAGTTTACTCTTTTGGGTTTGGTGGTGTTCTGATAAGTTGAAAAAGCTTCATCATGAAGTGAGAGCAAACCTTTTCCCCCCTCAGCCTCGGAGGATCAGTGCAGTTTCTGTAGCAGAGCGTGTGTCATACGAGAGAGGAGAGCAGCCCGGGCAGAGCTGCGGGTACAGCGTCCGCTTCGAGTCCGTGCTGCCCCGGCCCCACGCCAGCATCATGTTCTGCACTGTGGGTCTGTGCTGCTTTCTTTCTCTTGGGAGCTTATTGGTGGTGGGGCTGAATTCTCAAGAGTTAGCAGCAAAAGCAGAAACATGGTTACATTAAAACCTTTGGGAAATCTGCTTGATGTATGTTTTTTAACGTATGTGCTAAGTTTGATGACGTACTGGCGTGCAGAGGATTCAGGTTGTTGTTCAGAAGTGTGATAATACAGGTGTAATACCACACAGAAGTGATCTCCTGAGGAGATAAAATTGCCATTGTCCTTCAGAGGCAGAAGGGGAAGCAGTGTTGGATGGGAAAGAAGGAAGTGTTTCTAGCAGTAATGCTTTACACCCTCCCCATCACTTGTACCAGTGGCAGTTAGAGATGGGGCTGTAGAAGGTGCTGGGCAGCCTCTGTGCTGCTTGATTTTTAAACCAACTGTTCTTGATGAAATTCGGTGGGGCAGGGGGGGAGGACTGAGCTGTTACCTACACAAACATTTACTTTCTGTGTCTGTTAAAGGTGTTTTTCTGAGAAAGGTGGAGGCTGGAATCCGTGGCATTAGTCACGTTATTGTCGATGAGATCCACGAGAGAGACATTAATGTGAGTTAACTGGTTTCTCTCTGTGCTTCTGTTGAATTTTTGCATGTGTTCTTGTGTAGCAGTACGTGTGTGAAAGGAAACTGCATTTTACTGTTGCCATACATGTGAGTTTTCCATTTTGGCTGTGATTTTTAGAAAACCTCTTCATCACTCCTCACCTCAGTAAAAAAGGAAGGACTTGTGCTTACTTGCTGCCCTGTCTCTTTTGCCTGTTAGGATCTCTTCCTACATCCTTATCCTCTCTGGAAGGTAGAATTGCCACAGTACATGCACTTCTTGTCCAAATGTGGGAATGTGCTGAATGTCACCTTTATTTTGGCACACTCTTTTTTACTGGCAGTATCATGTCCCTGCAACAGAGCAGCAGTGGTCATTACACAAGCTGCAATTTTGATAGTGATACATTTTAAATTTGTTTTTTACAGAAAGAAAAATGCAGCAACGTGGCAGTAGAATTAGGGGAGGGATTATGTGTAATTTAAGAAATGTGAAACACTTTCTGTCCCTTTGGTTCTTCTTCTGTATAGTTTTCAGCTTTGCCACACCAAGAGTGAGAGAAACCTCTAAGTTCTGACATAATTTTTAAGCTTGTTTTGGCAGAATTTTGGGACTCGTTTAGATGGAGTTGCAAGGCAGGTTTTTCAGATCTCCTAATCTATTAAGTTGGTATTAATGATGTAAAATTCAAGTTTTTAAATTCTGAATGAGATTGGAATTTTACCTGTTGAACTAAGGGCCCATCTAACTACGTGGCAAAAGTAAATGTTGTGATTAAAGAGAACTATAAAGACATGCAAACAATTGCATGGATTCATTCCTATTTATTTTATGGCTACTTTATATGCAAAACAAGTTTTAAAAGACCTTAGGTTTTGAGGTGTTGCTAGGAAGGAAGCACAGTATTTTTGAAGCTTTTCTTCAGTTTGTTTCATTCTGGTAACAGAGTAACTCTTCTTTACACTGGAAAGCCTAACATTTGCTTATCCCTAGAATTGCAGTATTTGCAGGATAAAGCACTAGCAACTGTTTCTGATTGTAGAAAACTGTTTCAGGTTATATATTGCTGTGACAATTGTTACTTCTGTTGCCCAGAAAAGCTCCTCCTCAATACATGTATCTGTGTGCAAAACTGTTTCAGGTTATATATTGCTGTGACAGTTGTTACTTCTGTTGCCCAGAAAAGCTTCTCCTCAATACATGTGTGATTCTTTCTGGTCTCTTGGGAAGATGTTGCTACGAAGTTAATGATACTTTTATTCTCTTTAAATGCAGACTGACTTTCTCTTGGTGGTGCTGAGAGACGTAGTTCAGGCATATCCTGAAATCAGGGTTATCCTCATGTCTGCCACCATTGATACCAGTATGTTTTGTGAATACTTCTTCAACTGCCCTATCGTGGAGGTCTTTGGTAGGACATACCCTGTCCAAGGTAAATAATTGATTGAACTTTCAGGAACTGCTTTAGTTTTTATCAGTCATGTGCTTTAGGGTAGTGTGTACAGCAAGATGCACTTTTCTCTTGAATTGTCATGTCTTACAGACATGGCTTACAAGGCAAAGAAGTCAGTGACAGTGAACCATTTCATAGCACCTTTTGGTTTAAAATCACACACAAGCAATACTTCCACCACCACACCACACACATCTCCCAAAAAACCACCACACCACAAACATCCCCCCCAGCTCAAAGCACCACCACTTGGGGTAGTTTCCACTGGAGAATGAGGCAGAATGAGCTGTGATGTTTCAGATCAGTTGCCTGTGATATCAGGAATAATAGAAATATCTTTAAATCAGTCAGAATTGAAAAAAAAAAAGCCAACAAAGCCACAGTAAAAAATGATGTGGAAGTATATTGAATTGAGGAATAATCACTGGAACAGTGTGGGAATAATTCTCATACCCTATCTGATAGTCAAGGAGTTTTCTTCTGTCTTGGCTTCACACTCTGAAACATCACAATTTTCTCTGGAGAATCTTGAGAGATGATGAAAGACCTTCCACAGGCTTGGTAACCATGCCTTGTCTGTCCTTGCAGATTATTTTCTGGAAGATTGCATTCAAATGACTCAGTTCATTCCTCCACCAAAGGAAAAGAAAAAAAAAGACAAGGATGAAGAGGGAGGTGAAGATGATGATGTATGTTTGAATTTTAATATGAAAAATTAAACTAGTGGCAGTTAGGACTCTGCCTCAAGTGTAATTCATGCAGCACTGTTGAACTTTTTAGCAGCTTTTGTATGTTTTGATACCCAAGACTACTGTTAACTTCAGAAATAGAATTTAATTTTCTCATTGCCCTGGGAAACTGATTGTATTTTTTTTGTTGAAGCTAAAATTCTCATGTTTTGTCAGCCTACTTCTCTCTAAAGGTAGAACTGAGATACATTTAAAGGTGAAAACATTGGTGACCTTGGAAGAATATGTAGATACAGAAATATGAGCTTGGTGATACCTCTTCAGGGTGGAAATTTAGATTCTCTCCCTCCTTCTCTTGCATTGTTAATACTCTCACTTTAATGCCACAGCTTTTAATTTGTAGATCTGAAACTGCTGTTCTGGTCAGCTATTTGAAATTTTTTGAAAGTATTAGTTTTTATTGAGAGAAGCATTTACTTCTGCTTCTTATGTTATCCACGTTCATCTGAATGGAAGTTAAATTAGTTTGATAGCAGCTTCCTGCTAAAGATGTGTATGGAGTTGTACTTCACTGCAGTGAAATTACAGTTCCATTCCTGTATTTAATTTCTCACAATGAGAAAGCTGGGGAAGCAGGACTAGAGCTGCTTATTGTGAGTCATTCTGCGAGCTGTGCCCGAGATGGCTTTCCCTATCCACATGTCTCATTTTCCAATGTACTTGGCCAGCCAGTCTCCACGGGTTGAGTCAATAAACGTACACGATTTCTTTAGTGATTTGGTGTATTTGGGTTTTTTTGTTTTGTTTGTTTTTGTAGGCCAATTGCAACCTTATTTGCAGCGATGAATATGGCCCAGAAACAAAGCACTCCATGGCTCAGCTGAATGAGAGAGAAACTTCTTTTGAACTCATTGAGGCCCTGTTAATTTATATCAAGACCCTGAATGTCCCAGGAGCTGTACTTGTTTTCTTGCCTGGCTGGAACTTGATATATACAATGCAGAAGCATCTAGAAATGAATCCACGCTTTGGTACAAGCAACTGTGTTCTGTTCTGTTTCATCTCCTAGTAGCAGCAAACTAAGGAATGTGTAAAGATAAGGGCTCGCTGAGGGGGAGCGGGATTGGTTGGTTGTGAGAATGAACAAGAAGAAATTATTAAAGAAGTTTGCACAGTGATAGTTACTGACCTTCTTGTAATCATGTTGCAGGAGGCCACCAGTATAGGATTCTCCCTCTGCATTCTCAGATTCCCCTGGAGGAGCAACGACGGGTGTTTGATCCTGTGCCTCCTGGAGTGACAAAAGTAGGAGCCCTCTCTGCGCTGCCACACGTGCTTCTCCTATGCTTTGGGAATGTGCTGCTGCCTTTTTTTTGACAGAAGTTACATAGTTTATCCTGCAGTAGCTAATATATTTTATCCTGCAGTCCATCCTTATGTTTTTCAGACCAAATACATTTCAATATACATTTCCTGTTGTTGTTTTTTGTGTAGGTTATTTTATCTACCAGCATCGCAGAGACCAGCATCACCATCAATGATGTAGTCTATGTTATAGACTCCTGCAAGTGAGTTCATGAAGTAACTTTTTGTCTTGTAAATCCTATTCTTTGGAATGCAAAAAAGGTTTTCTGAACACACAGAACTGCCTTGTGTTCCCAGAGTCACAGAGCTGAGTTTGAGGACTCTGAACCTCGCTCAGGACAAATTTGCATTGTCTGCAACCAGTTCAGCACAGTTACAGAGCACAGTGGCATTTCAGTGGGCTGGTTTTGGGCAGCTGCCTTCACACTATTGATGTGAGGTGTCACTGGGTCTCCATGAGTATTTGAAATATGTTGTCTGCCAAGTGGCTGTTACAAACACTTAGTGTAGGGCTGATGGAAAAGAGATGTTTGTAGTCTGTTACAGATCCTGTCTTGCTCTCTGAGCAGATTACACAGAGGGTCTCATGAATTGCGTGGGAATTTTAAGGTTTTGAGACAGATGTGAAAACTTCATTCTGTGCATAGCTTGGGGGCCCTGCTAGGATTCTTCAGCTTCCAAATAAATCCTAACTAGCCAAAGCTCAGCTGGTCAAACAAGCCTGGTTTGCTGCTTAAAAGCAGCGTGGCTGTAAGGAATAAAATAGGGACTGATTTGGCAGGACTTGAGATGAAGAACATCTGATCTTAAGTTGTTGTTTGTTTGTTGTTTTTTTTCTGTAACAGACAAAAAGTGAAGCTGTTCACTGCTCACAATAACATGACAAACTATGCCACAGTCTGGGCATCCAAAACCAACCTGGAGCAGCGGAAGGGAAGAGCCGGACGTGTGCGCGCTGGGTTTTGTTTCCGTCTGTGCAGCAGAGCTCGCTTTGAGAGGTGAGGCTGTGCTCCTGGGGAGCAGCAGGACCTCAGAGGCTTCTCCCAGAACTGTCGAGTGCTGCTTCTGATCCAACTGGGGAAGTCATTGCAGAGAGCACAGGGAGGAGATGCATGAAGTCAGTTCACACAGAAATTCTTGGATATAACATGTATGTACTTGTACCCGTAACATGAGGTAGATAAAGTGTTTGTGATGTTAAGAACTTCACTGTAACCTACAGAGGCTTTCAGGGGAAAAATAATACTGTTTGGGAGTTGAGGCAAGTCAGGAAAGAGCCATGGAATAAGGGTAAGGCTCTAGTCTACCTTCAAACGTTGCATGTCCTTGGCATCTTCACAGAAGAGGCAATTTTGTCATGGAAGTGGTAAAAACCAGAGATGACAGATGTTACTTTTCCCTCCATCCCCAGTGAGTGGCCTGGAATCCCCTTCAGGCTGCTGAACTGCTGCTCTGGCACCTTCCCTGCTTCTGAAACTTCTGACCTCTTCTATCTGCCAAGCTGTTTCTCAGTTCCCAGATCCATGGAAATCTTTTTGCTGGTTGCAGGGGCCTACCCAGCTGTTAGTGTTTGATCTCTCTCATGAAAGTTTCAGTGTCCCTTTCTTGCACAGCAATTCGAGCATAGCTGTGCTTTGATGTTCAACTTCTTGTAACCTCTGAAAACATCAGTTGATCAGAAACTTCTGTTAAGTTGGTCAAATTTATTTAGGTCTGCTGTCTTGTATAGTGGAGTGATTTTAACTAATAGTTTCTGACAGTGAACTGAAGGCTACAGATGTAATCATGGGACTTCATGACTTCAAGGTGACCTTCCTTCAAAGAACATAAAAAGAAAATACACTAGCTCTGTGGTGCCTAGGAAGGAAGTTCTTGTGCAGAGAATCTTTTGGGAGATTCCATCTAAATTTGGTGCCATCTGAGTATTTTTTCAAGGAGTTTTGAAACCTTTTCTAGCTGTCTCTTGCTCAGTGCAGTCATTCCTAGGAGTTAATAGTGCAGCCAGCAAGGTAAAGGATCATTAACCATACTGTGCTAAAGACAGAAGAGCTCCATGTGTTTCCATCTGGTCTTTTTTCCTACCAGAAAAACACCTTTGGAAAAACTCGCTCTCCTTAGTGATCCAAGTACAAACATGTAGGAGGAGGTGGGTGCTTTGGAGTTGCTAGGACACATAGAGAAGTGCTTGTATGTAAAGCAGGTTGTCTTTCTCAGGAGTGGAAGACTTTCTTTGGTGACGTAGGAGATGATTGTCAGGGGGCAGGTGTGGGGCTGGACACTGGGGGCTCCAGCCATGCAGACTGTGTGTACTGGAGCCCCCAGTGGGTTGTGGAGGTGGGAGGGCTACACTGTGTATCCTGGGGTGAGAAGTGAGAAAAGCAGAAGGCAAATACCTGCAGCAGAGCCAAAGTGGCAGGAGCACAGTGTGAGCTGGTGAGTTGGCTGGGGGCAGCACTGGCTTTGGAGGGCAGTAGTTCAGGCTGATAGAACGACCCGAGATGTTGACAAAAGTGAATGTTCAGAAAAATGTGGGGTTATTTGTTCTCCTTCCAGACTTCAGACTCATATGACACCTGAAATGTTTCGAACACCACTTCATGAAATTGCTTTGAGCATCAAACTGCTGCGGCTGGGAGGAATTGGTCAGTTCTTGGCCAAAGCCATAGAGCCCCCACCTTTGGATGCAGTGATTGAAGCAGAACGCACGCTGAGGGGTACGTGGTTTGGCCACAAGGCTTTTATGTTCATGAAGCTGATGCCAGGTGATGTCCCACATGTGCTGGTCACTAACAAACCACTTCAACATCTCTGCTTCCATTATTTGTGTAGTTGCCTGCTGTCTGAAGCAGCAAGGTGTTTCCTGGATGCATTGTGTGGGTGGCAATGTCTTCTTGCAGCTGAAGAAATAAATGAATTCCCAAGTGGGGTGTCAGTCCTTTAAGAAACTTGAGCCTTCAGGCTTCAGCCTTGTTTTGTTATTTTACCAGTAACTTCTGCTAGCTTCCAGCTTCCTGTTTTCCAGCTGTGGCACTGCTGTGTTTGACACAGATTCAGCCCAGTGCCTAAGGCATTCTCAAAACAACTATAAAAGTAATTAAAAAAAGAGGTTAGTAGTTTATTATGTAATTACTGCTTTATACAGTGTGCTGACCCGAGTGTCAAGTAATTAAATCTCCAATTTATGGGTATTCAAGCATCAGTGTCCTCCTAAAACAGGAGACACTGAGGTGAGGGTTAAGCTGTCTCCCCAGTTCCTTTAAGGAATTGTCTAGAATATGAGTAAAATGAAGGGGGGAGGAACTCTGTATTTATGGTTTGGATTTAAAGCAGTGAACTTGAACCTCAGCATACTTTGCAGATGTTGCTAAATAAGCATTTCATGACATTTCTCAGAACTGAATTACCTACTGGATTGTTGATTTTAGGAAAAAAGTATGGAAGGAGATAAGTGTACATAGAAGGGTGACCAGGATAAAAAGCAGAGCTAGGGCTCTGTTTTTGTGTAAATGACTTTATGATCTTGAAATTGTTAGTGCTTTTCTTACACTGCAGATAAGAAATGCAGAGCTGGGGAAAAGGTGAATGTTTTCAGCATTCACACCAAATTGATGTTTCTGTAGGTACCTTTTTCCTGAATGACCTGGGATTATTTTTTTGTTTGTCAGGGTGTATATACTACTATTATTTTTTAGGATGGTGAGACTCTAGGCTTTTAGTTCCAGAGATACTAAGAAAAATTGATTTGATGGTGGCTAAGGAGTCCTTTATTTTCTTGCTTTCCCATTCAATCTCTATGATAGGGCTGCTTTGATTTTCCTGAGGCAGAAATTAGTTTAGGTTAGTAAGATCAAATATGGGGACTTGAAAAAAGTTTGATAGTGTAACAGTGGTTTGTACAGAAGCAAACTGAAATGGCAAAGTGTCATTAGATAGTAATTAATTATGGAGGAGGTAGTAAAACATGTAAAGCTAAAGTAAAATTTCTTTATTTGACCTCAGACCAGTTTTGAAAATCAAGTTGCAATATTGTAAACAATGTTAAACTTAAATATAGGTAGGTTTCTATTTAAGCACAATTATTAAAATTCTGAAATGTCTTCTCTAAGGATGTCTGGGATTAGTTAACCAATAAGAGATCTTTTTTCAGACCTTGATGCCCTGGATTCCAATGATGAGTTGACACCTCTTGGAAGAATCTTGGCCAAACTTCCCATTGAACCTCGTTTTGGCAAGATGATGATAATGGGCTGTATCTTTTAGTAAGTTCAGTAGTCTCCATGGTTCTTTTTTTGGGGTTGTTTCTCTGAGTTACTGAGCCTCTAGACATGCACTCTACAGGAGAAAAGCTGAGGATAAGAAAAGGAATATTCAGGAGAGCAGGGGTTAAATAACTTAGAATACAGGGAATAAAGTAGTAATGAAATTCAGAGTTAACTGCAAGGGAGCAGAAGGGGCTGAATACTTAGGAATTAAGAGTGAGACACCAACTATGCAGCAGTGAGCTAGAAGTGGGGAGATGTGAAACTTGTCACCTAGATAAGAAAAATTAATCCACATGTTTTGCTTTAGCAGAAGTGAAGATCTGTTATTTATAATTGTGATGGCTGTAGGGTCCTTTCCACCAGAAGAAGATGGTGTATGGTTGAAGGGAAGGAGAGGGAAGATAGCAAAGGGCTTGTGAACACTTGCTGTTGTGAAAGTACTGGAATTTGAGCTAATTTAATGTCCACTTTCAGGAAAGTGTTTTTGTGAAGAGCTCTAGTAGATGAGGGACAAATTCCTAAGGTCTCTGGCAGAGAAGTTTTTACTTGTGTCAACAGCCTGTAGCAGCTGCTGGCAGCAACACTGTGAATAACCTGATCCCAATACCTTTTGTGGTTTCTTTCAGTGTGGGAGATGCTGTTTGTACTATCTCTGCAGCCACCTGTTTCCCTGAACCTTTCATCAGTGAAGGCAAACGCCTGGGCTATGTCCATAGGAATTTTGCTGGGAACAGGTTTTCAGATCATGTTGCTTTACTCTCCGTCTTCCAGGCCTGGGATGATGCAAGGTACATTGTCTTGTGGGAAGTTATGGGTGACACAGGGTGAGCAGCTTCCTGCCCAGACTAGATAGACCCACAGACACTGTGAGAGCTGAACTGTTGCACTTTCCCTTTTCTTGAACGGGCTTCTGATTCTCTCTCTTTGTTTTTCAGAATGGGTGGTGAAGAAGCAGAAAAAAGATTCTGTGAACACAAAAGGCTCAGCATGTCTACTCTGAGAATGACCTGGGAAGCAAAAGTCCAGCTGAAAGAGATACTTGTTAAATCTGGCTTCCCTGAAGGTGATTCTCCTTGAACATAGTACTTTAACAATTGCATTTTTAATTCTGAGATGAGAAACAAATAAGCAAGATAATCAATGATGAACACACAGCACAGAGGCCTGAAGTGGATTTGCCATAAAGCTGTTCTGCTTTAACAGCTGCCTTCAGATGAAATTTTAGTGACAACTCATTCTCTCCTCGTTGTTTAAACCAGAGAAGTTGTGATGGCTGTGGTGCCAGCACAGGGAGATTTTGGAGGCTGAGGTTAGGGCTGAAGCATCAAAAAACTATTAAACAATTTTTCTTGGGGAGTTACCTCCCTGATTTTCCTTCTCTTTCACTTTTTGCATCTCCAAAATGTGCTGTGCTCCCCCCCTTCTTTTCATTAGCCTTACGGGATGCTCTGTGTGATCTAAACAACATATTATGTGTCCTGTGGTTTTCTGGGTTTATGCCACAGGGATGTGCAGTAGTTGGGCATATTATTCATTTTCTAAGGAAAAAAAAGATTCTAGAAGTTGACCAGGTTCTGAATTTGCCTGGTGTTCCTCAGGAGCTTGCTCAGTTTCATGGCATAGCTGGCTGAATTCAGCAGATGTCCATCTCCCCCTCCTTTTTTCTTGTCTTTTTTTTTTTTTTTTTTAAATTCCTTCAATTTTTTTCTCCTTGAGCTGCTAGGATCATTGCTGCATTTATCCTTAACTTTATTTCTGGGCAAGATGACCTGAAAACAAGCCACCAGAGACTCTGGGGAGGTTTGTAACAAATAAACGAATGAAAACATCCATCCTGACCTCCCCCAAAAGATCCATCTCCAAAACAAATGTCAGGAAACACACTGTGGTACAGCACATTCTGGGCAAACCCCTCTCTCCTTGTTTTTGAGGAGCTTGGGAGAGAAAAATATCTCTTTGTAGTAGTATTTTTGAGCTTTTTGCTCTCCATGAATAAATTGAAATGTAGAACTGAAATGCTGTGAGTGCAGAGGTCATTTGAGAACAGATGTGCATCTCCCAGTCGATTGGGTCAGAAAATGCATTGATCCAGGATCCTGAACAACCTTTCCCTGCTGTCCTGTATGACCTGTGGATTCAAGCCAGTCTTCTGTTCTCTGTCAACAGAATGTTTGGTGACTCAACCCTTTAACAACACTGGACCAGACAATAATCTGGATGTCGTAATCTCCCTGCTTGCTTTTGGGGTCTACCCCAATGTCTGCTACCACAAGGAGAAGAGGAAAATTCTTACCACTGAGGGGCACAATGCACTCATCCACAAGTCATCTGTCAACTGCCCTTTCAGCAGCCAGGACATCAAGTATCCATCACCTTTTTTTGTTTTTGGAGAAAAGGTAAAGACTTTGGATTTGTTCATTTGCTGCCAAGTTGTCCAAGAGGCTCTTTTTGGTAAAGCAGCTCTATGAAAAAAGATACTGGGTAGTGTTTAGCTTGTGTGGGGTTTTCTGGTTTGTTTGGTTTTGCAGAAAGAGAACCTTATGTGGTCATGATGTCACTCAGCCTTTGCAGTAACTTTCAATCAACCATTTTCAGTTGTAGCAGAGGTGTTAGCTGCAGAGGTGTTCCTGGGAGTTCAGTGTAAGCAGCCAGATCACCGAAAAAGATCTAAATTATTATCTTCTTTAAGAAGTTGCTTCAGGGGCTCTTCCATACTAATCAGGCACTAGAGAATTTCTGCCCTTACTACTTTTGCTGTTTCTGAATCCAGAGAGTTGTAATCTGGTAGTGGGGTGCTCCCTTTCTGGCATGTAGGTAGTTTGTCATCTTCCAAAGAAAACTCCCACTTCCCAACCCTGTTTTCTGAAACCTTGTATACATTGGTTAGTTCAGAATTACAGTTAATTTCTGCTGATTTTTATATCCACAGTTCTTTTTGCTGACATGCAACTTGTTTTAGTCATGACAGACCAACCACTTCTTTGGTAATAAATGAAATTTGGGCTCCTTTGGGCATTGGCTGGGGACACAGCTTGAGACCTGGGGATTTCCACGTGCATAGTCCAGCACTGTGGTGAGGCTTTGCTGATTCTTTGCCCTTTATGACAGGATCCCTAGTGGGTCAGACCTCTGCTCTGCCTCAACTGTCTCTGTAAAGTGAGCTCCCCTAAAAGGGCCAATAGACTTTTGAACTCAAAAAGCAATGCTTTATTCCATCAAAATGTGTATGGCAAACTAAGAGAGACTAAGATGGTGGCTTTAGATGGCTAAGACAGAGACTGAAGGTTCAACACTCTTCATTGTGGCCATTTTTCTGCTACAATTTCTAGCTTTGGCCAGCTTCTCTATTTTGAGTGTGTGTGGTATCTTCCATGCAGGAGCAAATCTTCTCCCTGAGGACAAGCAAGTACAGCAGCCCCTGTGTGAAAGAGGGGAGGGGGAGAGGCAGCTGTCAGGGTGGGAGGCTGAAATCTTGAGTACCACTCTTCAGTTCCTCTTTAGAATGAAGGGCAGTAGCCTGTGTAGTCAGTGCTGTTATCTCTGGTTTAGGTCAGATGGCTGGTTGTTAAGTGCTCACTTAAGGTACAAAAGCTTCAGGTCTTGTGTCTGTAAAATGACAAAGTGGGATGGTTGCATGGACGTGTAGCAGCTTCCAGATGTGCATGTGGAACCCTATGAGCTTGTCATCACAGCCCCAGTGATGCAAAAGGTGGGAAAGAAACTCAGCTGTGCTTTGCTCGTGGTAAGGTTGACAGAGCATGAGATGGCTCTTGCAAGGTGTCAGCTGCATCACTGCAGACATACAGTCTTGGAAAAATGAGTACTTTTGAAATGGATACTTTTAAATTGCAAGTAGCTTTTGGTGTTTCTTCACACCAGCCAGTGCTGAAACCCTGTAACCACCTGCCCAGCGTTCAGTTTTGTATGTATATGTGCTCTTGTAATTTCCTAATGTTATACCTAGATTTTTGGGGGTGGTGCTTGGTTTGTCGTTGTTTTGTTGGTTGTTTTTTTGTGTTGTTTTGTTGTTTTTTTTTACAAAATGCTCTGCTTTCAGTGGCCTGAGGAAGGTGTAGGGATCTGTTTTCCATTTAAAGGGTCCTATTCCTCTCCCACCTGCAGATTCGAACACGAGCCATCTCTGCCAAAGCCATGACCTTGGTGAGCCCATTGCAGCTGCTTCTCTTTGCCTCCAAGAAGGTCCTGTCAGATGGGGAGCTCATTCTGGTGGATGACTGGTATGGACCTCCCTGGTGCTTGTAGTGTTCAGGTCTCTGAAAGAACACAGACTGAGGGGGAGTGGCTGCTCACACAGACATGAGTCTCTTTAGAATAAAGAGCAAGTGTGTGCTGCTCCAGGTTAATGGTGAGGGCATTGTTTCCTGTGAGGAAGGGAGTGGTTTATTCTGGCAGCAGTGTTTCGTGCAGATTATCTGCTTAAATTGAAAACAAGATGCCAGGCAGTTTCCATAAAAACAGCTGGGATTTTTTTCCCCCCCTTTAACTGGAATGTGAATAAGAGGTACTGTGTATTTTGGACCTCCCCTTAAGAGGGAGGCTTGATTTTAAGTCTTGGAAACACGGCTGGAGGAGAGAAGTGCTAAGGATTTGGTGGTTGCCTCTGGCAGGATACATTTTATGGCCATATCTAAATACCATCTGGAGGTCTTTTCTTTGTTTGTTTGTTTCCCTTCTGGTCATTAAAATGGAGCTTAAGAATTGCTTAAGCTGCTTAATTCACTAATATTTCTAAAGGATGGCTTGGAGCTTTCAAAATCTTGAGGTGCCTCATGGTTTTGGTTTACTTTATATTTTTATATCTTTCTGCTAGGGGTTATATAACCTGAGTGTGAAATCTCAAGAGCAAATGTAAAGAGAAGGAGACCTGTGTTTTAACAAGATCAGATTTTAGGGATCTTCCAAATTTGCCTTCAGAATTTCACGCCCTTTCCTTGACAAATTAGAATTTCCAAGGTGACAGCGTGGATTTCTGGCTCACTGTGTGCAGCACTCAGTGAAAAACCACTTCTATGGAACGTCTTCCCTAACAAGTTCTCAGCTAGAAGCTGGAATAGATCTGATGTGATTCTCTCTGCTCCAGGATCAAGCTGAAGATGCCCCACAAGGCGGCCGCCTGCGTCACCGCCCTGCGCGCCGCGATGGAGGCTCTGGTGGTGGAAGTGACCAAGGACCCTGAGATCATCCGGCAGCTGGACCCGGCGCACGAGCGGATGCTGAACGTGATCCGCCAGATCTCCAGGCCCTCAGCTGCAGGGATCAGCCTCATGGCTGCCAGTGCAAGGTCAGCTTGGCTCCCTGGCTCGTGCAGTTGGAGCGCTCGGGCAAGGAGCGCTCCCCAGCCCTGTCCCCACGGACACCGAGGGCCTGGACAGAGCAGGGCAGAGCTGCTCCCTCCCAGGGCTAAAACCACCAGGGGTGTCTTGTCCCGTGTGGGCAGAAGCTTCAGGCTTATACTACAAAGTCCATAGTCTGGGTGTATGTAGAGTTGTCGTGTCCAAAGTGGGGTGTAGGCAGATCAGTGCCTGTTCCCACATGGGTGGCTCTCAGGACTGAAAGCTGCCATCACCTCTTCCAAAACACAACAACATTTTAAGAAAAGATAATCCAAGTAGTTTTTTTCTTAGTAAACCTGCTCATCTCTGTCTCTGGGAAGAAAACAACTATTTGGCTGTGCTTGAAGTCATCCATTGCCCCTTGTTCTCAGCTCTTGCTTCCAAAGCACAGAAAAATACAGTGGGCTGTGAGCTGTTGGTAATTTAAGGATCAAACCAAAGAACAGCTTCAGTGTGCAGTTCAGCTGGGTTCTGGGAGGAGCAAAAGGTCACTGTGTTCACATAGGCAGCAACAGGGCTCCCTCCACAATAGTGTGAGCTGGAGAAGTGGGATTGAGGGGAAAGCTTTCTATCCCAGGTGTAGACCTGGCTGATGTGCAGAGGAGGGACTGCTTGTTTGACAGATCAGGCTGTTCCCAGCTTTTCTTTACTGAAGTGGGGAAAAGTGTGAAAGTGCAACTGTGATTCAAACATCATATTCTCTTGACATAAAATAGACATAGCAACTGAGTATCTTGGCAGTTGATTATTCCTGGAGTATTTTTTTTTTTTAATATTGAATCTGTAAAATTGCATGAAGTGACAAGTGATAGAACAAGAGGAAATGGCCTCAAGTTGTGCCAGGGGTGATTCATTGGATATCAGGAACAGTTTCTTCACCCAGAGGGTTATTAAGGACTCTGCCCAGGGCAGGGGTGGAGTCCCCATCCCTGCAGGGATTTCAAAGCCCTGTAGATGAGGTGCTGAGGGACATGGGTTAGTGGTGGCCTTGGCAGGGCTGGGTCAGTGGCTGAATTTGATGATCTGAAAGGCCTTTTCCAACCAGAAGGATTCCATGATTCTAAGCATACAATGTTTCTCTTTGCCAGGTTTGGTGATGGCCCTCGCCCCCCCAAAATGCCTCGCTACGACAACGGAGGTGGCCTCAGGGGCTGGGGGGGCTACCCGAGGGGCTCGGGCTACAGAGGGCGAGGCTACGGTGGCCACAGCTACTCCAGCTGGCACTCAGGAGGAAGAGGATACCAAGGTAGCCCAGGGGGAGGCTACGGAGCAGGGAGAAGCTATCATCGAGGAGGAGGGTATGGAGGAGCAGGTGGTGGCTACAGAGGGGATCCGGGGAGGGGCAGGTGGTAGGTAGGGCAGTTCAGTGAAGTCTTTCCACCTTGACAAACGTGTGTGTCCTCTCCCAGTCTCTCTATTGCTATTACCAGTCTGTTTGCCACTTCAGTTCCTTAGTTACAGCTCTGTAATATATTGTGCCCTTAGGGAATTTACGGCAAGTTGTATTATTTATTCTTAATAAAGAGTCTGTTTTTAAAGACTTACACGTTTAATTTTGTATTTGGATTTAGAGTTTCAAGCCATCTGTTCTTAGTTTTGGTTGCAGGAGGTATAAGGCATTCTGAGGAAACCTTTTCAGTGTCTAAAACAATTCTCTGCCAAATGAATTTAAAATTGTGGAACTTGGGCTCAGTGGGGATTTTCCTTTGTTGTTCTAATAAACTGTGCAAACAGGCCTTGCTGCAGTGGTTTTCTGTCTACGCCAGGCAGCACTTGGTTCCTTTGCAGCCGATGAGCTCTTTTGCTGATCCAGATACTTGAAGAACATGGGATCCTTTTTTCAAGACTGTTGGGGTGCTCTGCAGAACCTGAAGCCTGAACTGCACCCCTCATCTGAGGCAGTGTTTGCCATTGCTGCTCCAAAACAGTTGTGCTTTGTTCTTCCAAATACATGTGAAAGAGCGATTCTGTCATTAAATTCCTTGAAATTGCAGCCAGTGGATTCCAGACAGAAGTCTTACGGACATGGAGGGGGTAAAAAGCCCTCTGGCCAGGTGTGCTGTTCTCCATACCCCTCAGACTAGCACCCGGGAAGTGACATGGAGCAGGGGTGGGTGACATGGGTGCCTGCAGGTCCCTGCTCCTACAGTCAGGCCGTGTTGCGCAGGTGTGAACAAGATGAGGGCAGTGCTCCAGGTGACGTGTGCCTATGAACAGCTGGGGTGTTTCTTTGTCTCAAACTCTCTCACCTCTTACAGCACGGCCACAAAACCATCTGGGCTGGCCTGGGGCAGCAGCAGGCTGGTCCTGCCTCACCCTTGGTACTGCAGGGCCTCAGCTGCGCGGGGAGAGGTCTGGGCACAGCTCAGTGTGAAACCTTTTCCATTACTGAGCCTGGCAGGATTAACGTCCCTGCTAATCCAACTGGAATGCTTATTTGTAGTTTATAATTGGGAGAGGATGAAGTTTGAGGGAAGTTTAAAGCAAGTCCAACATGTAATTACCATTAACTTTTCACTTCTTCTCATGTTGGTAAGTTTTCAGAGGTGGACTAGGGTACCAGGGGTTATCAAGTATATGTGTGGTATCCTGTGACACTGGCTACAAGTGGTTTGACTGGGGGTACTTTGTTAAATCCTAGCTGAAGAAATTCATGGAATTGTCAGAGTTGGAAGGGACCTTTAGGCATCATCTAGTCCAACTGCCCTGCTAAAAAAGGATTGCCCAGAGCACGTTACCCAGGACTGCATCCAGGTGGGTCTTGAATATCTCCAGAGAAGGGGACTCCACACCCTCCCTGGGCAGCCTGTCCCAGGGCTCTGTCACCCTCACTGTAGAGTTTTTCCTCATGTTTAAATGGAACTTCCACTGTTCCAGCTTGTGCCTGTTGCCCCTCATTCTGTCACTGGGAACTACTGAGCAGAGTCTGGCTCCATCCTCCCTGCACCCACCCTATAGATACCTACAGGCATCAATAAGGTCTCCCCTCAGCCTTCTCTTCTCCAGGCTGACCAGTCCCAGCTCTCTCAGCCTTTCCTCATCAGGGAGATGCTCCAATCCACCCATCATCTTTATTGCCCTCCCCTGGACTCTCCCCAGTGGTTCCCTGTCTCTCTTGAATTGGGGAGCCCAGAACTGGACACAGTTCTCCAGATGTGGCCTCACCAGGACAGAGTAGAGGGGGAGAATTACCTCTCTCGACCCACTGGCCACACACTTCCTTATGCACCCCAGGATTCCATTGGCCTTGGCCACAAGAGCACATTGCTGGCTCATGGATAATATGCTGTTTACTGGGACTCCTAGTACCTTCTCCTCAGGGCTGCTTTCCAGCAGGTCCACCCCTAACCTATATCGGTTCCTGGGGTTCTTCCTCCACACATGCAGGGCCCTACATTTCCCCTTGTTGAACCTCATGAGGTTCCTCTCTACCCAGTTCTCCAGCCTGTCCAGGTCACACTGGATGGCAGCACAGCCCTCTGGAGTGTCACCACCCCTCCCAGTTTGGTATCACCAGTGAACTTGCTGAGGATACACTCTGTCCCCTCATCCAGGTCATTGATTAATATGTTGAACAAGACCAGACTGAGTATTGACCCCTGGGGACACCACTGGTTACAGGCCTCCAACTTGACTCTTCTCCATTAATCCCAACCCTCTGAGCTCTGTCCCACAGCCAGCTCTCAATCCACCTCCCTATCTACTCACCTAGCCCAGAGTCCCTCCGTTTCCTAAGGAGGATGTTATGGGAGACAGTGTCAAAAGCCTTGCTGAAGTCAAGATAGATGACATTTGCTGCTCTCCCCTCATCCATCCAACCACTTACGTCATCCTAGAAGTCTTGCAGATTGGTCAAGCATGATTTACCCTTGGTAAATCCATGTTGACCATTCCAAATAACTTTCTTCAATGTGTTTAGAGATGACATCCAGAACAAGTCCCTGCGTCACCTTCCCAGGGACAGAGGTGAGTAGTTTCTGGGTCCTCCTTCTTGCCCTTTTTGAAGACTGGAGTGATATTTGGCTTCCTCCAGTCCTCAGGCACCTCTGCTGTTCTCTATGACTTTTCAAAGATGATGGAGAGAGTGGCTCAGCAATAACATCTGCCAGCTCTCCCAGCACTCAGGGGTGTATTCGATCAAGGCCCATGGACTTAGGGATGTCCAGTTTGGCTAAGTGGTCTCCAACCCAGTCCTCCTCTGCTGAGGGGAAGTCTTCGTCTCTCCAGACTTTTCCCCTTGCCTCCAGGGTGTGGGGTTCATGAGGGACAGCTTTAGCAGTGAAGACTGAAGCAAAGAAGCATTCAGTAACTCTGCCTTCTCTGTGTCTTCCACCACTAGGGTGCCCACCTCATTCATCAGTGGGCCTACATCTTCCCTAGCCCTCCTTCTTCTGTTGATATACTGAAATAACCTCTTCTTGTTCTCTTTTACCTCAGTAGCCAAGTTGAGTTCTGCTTGATCTTTGGCCCTTCTTATTTTTCCCTTCATAGCTTCACTACATCTTGTTTTTCATCATAAGTTACCAACCCCCTTTTTAGAGCGAAGTTGATGTTTTTCAGGTAAACTTACAAAAACAATTGTACTTTGTAACTGTAAAGCTATAATTTACTATCATTGGAAAAGACCATAAATGTTACCTTAACATTAGGGCCACCAATTCTGTGATACGAGGTCCCACTGGCTTGGGTACTATTGCAGTAATGAACTTTGTTTCTCCCTTAGATGTCTGGTTCTTGGGTACAGCCCAACACCAGTGCCCCCTATTCATTACAGAAAATATTAAATCTAATTTCATGTTGCTTGTTTTAAAAATTAGTGGGCATGTAAGGGTACTGCCAGGTGTAGTAACATGAAATTATGTGGGTCACAAGCCTATGTCTTGAGTTGCTGTTGGGATGGAGCTTTCAAGGACACTTGGGGCTGCTCAGGTCACAGGTGGTGGCAGGGAAAGGTGACATGGACTATTTAACATCTACAAATTACAGCTTAGTTGGTTTTATCTCTATGCCTAGTGCTTTATACATGGAGGAGTGTCAAGTGTAAAACTACTGCTTAACAATATTCAGTCTGCTTTGAATATCCAATCCATCAAGATCAGTTAAGTGGGAAAGCAATAATCTGTGCCTACACTTCCTGTGCCAGAAATGAAGAGCACAGTCTAAACAAGGATTGACATGCTAATGAGGAGCTTAAACAGCCTGGGTGTGGAAAACTGAACATTAACCTGAAATGACATGTACGTTTTTGCAGTAAAAACTGAGCTTGTGAGGAGTTTGCTGTGTTGGTAAATTGATCTGTGCTTTGTTTCACAAAGGCAGCTTGTTAGAGCACTCACATCTCTTGTACAACGAATTTAATGATCTGAAATTCAAGAAGAAAGAACTACCTGAGCTCCAGCAATGTCACTGTCTGGGGTGGTCAGAGAAGCCCCAGCAAGTGCAGACAGCAGGTTCAGAAGGCACGACACCATGGGCTGTTGTTTGCTGTC